CCCCAAAACCCCAAAACCCCAAAACCCCAAAACCCCAGCGATTTTAAAGGAAATTGAAATAATTAGAGTCATTGAAAAGCTTATAAACTCTGAATAAAAATCATCCTAAAAACCATTCATTTAAAAGTTGTAATAAATTTTAGCAATAAAGCTACTCATAAGTATTTGAAATTGTATGCAAATTACTAACACTGTTATTCCTCCTCTATTTCTTTGCTCATTTACAAACTCTCATTTTCGTATGTTTCTCCGTAAGGATTAAATCTTGGTGGATTTTGCATCCCTGCATACATTTTACCCATATCCATTTCTCTAAAGGGACTAAAGTCGATCCTCGTATCATTAAAAGCCCTAAATCTTTCTTCTTCAGATTCTTCATATTTATCTTCCTCTGAGTCACTTATTGGTCTCTCGAAAGACCTATTCCTCCTTCCATAGCCTCCTTCACATTGGCACTTGTGCGCATCCTCAGATTGCTCTCCGCAGTGGTAACAGAAAGAAGCTCCTCATCTACAAGTCATGGCGTTGCAGCCCTCGATCTTGGAGACCCAGAACTTGCAAGCGGGACATCTCTTCATGTTCTCTTTCAGTGCGTAATCTATCGCTTTCTGGTCGTTAGCCTCAAGAGGTTCCTATAGAGAAGTCAGATTTGGACCTTAGCGTACATTTCCATTAATTTCTTGGTTTTTCTCACACGAAAATTCTATGAAGTTAGAGATTCTTCCTTACCAGGATGCCACTTGGTATCTCACCCAATGCAGTACTCTTCGAAACACATTGGGCACTGGAAGTAGCCTCTATGGTCTTCCTTTTCTAGACAGAACACATATTCACAGTCTTTATTAGGACAATTTAGGAAGTTACCTTCCTTCTGGATTCAGAGCTTTAGTGAGAATAGTTCGAACCTTTTTAAATAACTTTCATCAAGAAGATCTTTGAAAGTATCCATTCCAAGATCTAACTCACAATCTTCAATAGGACACTTGATAGGAATCTTGCTCTGGTCGATAGAGGTTGTTAGGTGCATTAAAATGCAATCTTGGTGAAAAGAATGTCCTCATTGGCTAATACAGTAAGCTTTCTCACTTTCAATACCCATAAGGCATATCTTACATTCATCCTCATAAGCCTTTGATTCTTCATTTCTTGAGATATCTTGCAAGTATGACTCATCTCCTTCAATGTGTTGTCAGTTTTCTTTGTTAAGGAAGGGGAAGTTTGAATCTTCTAGTCTACTCTCAGCTTCAATTTTATATTCTTCTATCTTTGACTCTTCTCTAGCTAAGCTTTCTAAAGGATTCTTAGAAAATGCGCATTGTTAAAGGCATGAAAAGATAAAAGTATAAGAGAAATCCTTGTGGAAATGAAATCAAAGGCTTTTACAGGGAATTATAAGCCCAAGCTTAGAGTCCATAAAATAAACTATCTAACAGAGTTTTACAAGTTTTATGCAATGTTCATTAGAATAAAGCAATTCTATTGTTGAGAAGTGGCCAGATACTATATCCAAGCCCTTTACAGCTAAGTTTGTATTGATCCTAGATGCTTGCACTCCAAAAAAAAGTAGACTTTACCAATTTCCAATCCAGATCTTACTGAAATGTCAAAACTTACCTTGACTATGCTTCTGGTACATAAGCTTGCTGAAATACAAAAGACTCTTCTCCTCTACATCAAGTTCCTGGGCTTGTGCTGCTTCCAAAAGACTATTAATAACAGTAATGGACGCTTTCAAACTTTCTATAACAAATAATGAGATATTAAGCTATTTTCTCAATAACTTTGGAAAAGACGTGCAGATTTTTGAAATAAAGTCTTGCTTAGAGACTAGGCCATATAACATATGATTGCAACTAATGCAAGCAACCATCTGGATAGCTTCTATTGGTCATCATGCTTGGACACTGTTTTTCATGACTTAAAAACCCTCGAGAAAAGTACTCATTGGTAAGATATAAACAAATTATCACACAATCGAAGTTAAGGTTTAGAGCAAACTGATGATGGCCCATCCATTACAGAAGGTGTTAAGGTTCAATGTTTCGAAAAGAGAGATGGATCAGCTCACTTTGGGATTGGCTGATGCATATCAAAATCTTGAAGAGTGAGAAGCCTGATGATTTGAAGCTACAACCTAAATTTGTAAAATTGAATCTAAGCTACCATCAAGTTATGGTAAAATAAATAAAAATTCAAAGCATCACATTCTGCTAGCTTAACAATTGTATAAAGGCTCCTCTCAATAAGCTCAAAACAAATAGCACTAAGTTTACTCAGCGCCTTAGATGAATTCTAAAGTCAAGAAGCGAAATATGAAAGAGAACTAGACCAATATTGTTCCTCTTCTAAAAACCGAACTCTAGTACTGTATGAGTAAAATTTAGAGTAAATCCGTTCTATCAACCAAGAGAGTGTAAAATATTTAGAATTCATAGAGAAATATCTCCTAAATCCTTTAAACCCCATTGGCATGAGTACCACCATGAGCTCAGCCATCTGTAAGACCTCTCATATTTCTATTATTAACGTAAAATTATATGAACCAGGCCTATAGATTCTAACTCTTAGCTTCAAACTCATTCATACATTGATTCCATTCCATAAGATTCAGAAGATAAAATCTAATTATTAAAAACAAACAAAATTCTAACAAACCTCCTGTCTTTAAAAAAAAAATCAACCCAATTTCTACAAGTTTACCCCAATTTCTAAGGCCTAATCCATAACTACTTCCCCAAAACCCCCCTTACAGACCCACAACAGACAACCCCCCACTCCCCACCCCCTCCCCCTCCCTCTCTCCCCCTCCAACCTTCCCAAACTCCACGCCTATCTCGCTCTCCCTACTCTGCCCAGCTAAAAACCCCACATAAAAATACTCCATGCGTCCGAACAGCCTAGTATCTGCTCCCATTGTCAGCCCTAACTTGTCGAACAAGTCAGGCATTTCTTCTATAAGTTCCATTTTCTATATAATGGTACTGGCTTGGGGTTTTGGGGTTTTGGGGTTTTGGGGTTTTGGGG